TACAGTACATATATTGTCCACATAAAACTTCTGTGTCTTTGGAAATACATATAAAACAAACACAAATCCATTTTTCAGAGAGCCATAAGAATTGCGAACCAACAAACTCACCGTTCAAATTAAAGACTTTTCCAGCTATTTAAACTCGCCTACTGTTATGTCTGTTGTTACGAAGCTTCCAGTCTGAGACGCGAAGCTGACGCGGAAGTCCCTTAAAACTGCATTCTATCAAACGACCAGCAGGGGGCGACTCTTCTGGTTGCAAAAATAAGTCCAGCTCCATTAGAAATAATGATAAAATGACCCTACTTCTCAGCTGATTTATTACCTCAGTAAACACTTTCATAATGAGTTTATGGTCTCTGTCGCTGGTTTCTTTAATACAACATGATGATCATTTAGTAAATTGTGGTCCCATTTAGAGGGAAACAGACCACAAAGCAGAGTATGCTTCAGGGCGGGATTATCTGTGATTGACAAGTCGTTACCATGGCAACCTGTCAATCAGGATAGAGTGACTCCTACCCACGGCACTGTGTAAATTTAACCAGCGCCGTTGAAAAAGCTGATTAGGAGTCGGCTGTTCACTTTCTTTCTGGTGAGTACATTTAGTTTTAAGATTTTTGTTATCAGCCCTGTTAAAATGAATTACAGTGAATTACGTGAATTACAGTTGCACCTAGCAAAGCAAGCTAGCTAGTTCCACACATGGCCATCAGCTCCACGTCTCGTCCAAACACGGTCACGTCCGGTGCCGCTGGTTGGAAAAAATCAACATGGCGGAGCCCTATCAGCCAAACTCGAGGATTCAAAACGGCAGTCCCCAAACCAACGGGTGACATCACCATGACTACGTTCACTTCTTATATACAGCCTGTGGTTGTCACACACCTATTCACCACAGCAAATTCCTTATATGCGTAAAAACTACTTCACATCACGTATAAAGTGATGATCAAATAGCAAAGTGATAAAAGTTGAAAATCAATTTATTACTTAAGTATCAAAAGGTTGTTTAAAATGAAGGAAAGACAATGTGATTCAAAAATAATTGACATGTTTGAAAAACAAACTGTGAAGATTTAAAGAATCATTGTATTTCAGTTAGAAGGAATGTATGGAAAAAAACGCAGGATCAGAAGGCCATCAGTATAATGGGGTTCAAGATGCCTCAGGTTTTTTGCTTGCTGTTGGCAGTCAATGTGAAATAAGACGTGTTGGCTATAGTACAACGTGTAGGCACAATAAGCTGCCGCTTCAGCCGATAATGTATTTTAAATAAAGTCAATAATTAAATTTTTTTGCTGTAAATAATTTGTCAGTGTGAACTCCAAATTTTGGATTTTTATTTCAGGATTATTCCAAATATGTGTATTCTTAGGAATACTAAATTGCCATCTTAGTATTTTTCTATTTCATGATTTAAAGGTGCATTTTGAGTTTGATACTTCCCCCCTCTCTGTTCTATTGCAGGTTTCGTTGCTTTCTGCAATTGGTGTTTCCCTCTGCTATTCCCTGTTGTCCCCACCCTCCATCCCCCTTCTCTTACAGGTCTTGTCCTTTCTCTGTGCTGTCTGTTTGTGCTCCCCATCCCTGTGTCTGCCCCCCTGTCCGGCCGGTGACAAATCAATACATAATTAAATAAATAATAAAACAGACAAAGGAGTATATTAATACTCTCTTGTTAAAGTAAAATCTGTCTGTCACAATATGGTATCCAGCTCATCATACTCTATACCAGGCTGCTGGGCAGGACAGGTGTAAAAAAAAGAAGAAAAAAAAAGTTCAATAGTGTGCTTCATAAAAAAGGATATCAATGTCCAAACCAGCTTTTTCACAAAATGCATCACTCCTGAAAGAGCTTGAAGATCGGAAGTGTTTATAAATAGAAAAGCATCAATTACAGTCACAGAAAGAAATTAAACATATTTAGAGGAAACTGTGCTAATTTATTACTATAACATCATTTACAGCTTGTCAGGCCGAAAAGTCGTAAGAACAACCTCACAGCATTGCGGTGATGCTGTTTCTGGAGCTTTGAAGGGAGGAAACTGCTCCAGACAGCAAACTTGTGAGTCACAGCGGGCTTTAAATATGTTTTCTTTAGGGGTTACAGGCTGGCTGGTTGTTGCTCAGCAATCTGACAGATTAGCTCCCACACTTTCTCCAGCAGACAGATCTCCTAACGCCTCAGTTTGAGGATTACAGCAGCAGCAGGTCAGCAGACCGCACTGTCAAACAGAGCATATGAGGTTTAGGCTGGAGAGAGAGAGTATACAGCTATCCAGAAAATAACTCCAGTCCAGATCAGTTCCAAAAGTAAAAAAGATTACAAAGTTAAGATAATATTGTCAAATCTATTATTTCCAAGGTCAAGGGTCAACTGTAAAAAAAATAAATACCAAGGATCCCAGAAATAATCAATACCTCCTCCTAAACAATAAATGGACAAACCTAAAAATTATCACTAATTAAAAACCTTACAGAAACTATTCCAGACATCACCAAAAAATATTAAAGAACCCACCCAGGAAACCATCCAAGAATCTACCCTGTAATAACCAATAACCAATAAATAGCCAAAAAACATCCAAGAATCTGCCTAGAAATGACCAATAAATAGCCAATAAACCAGCCAAAGATTCTGGCCACACATCACCAAGAAATAGCCAAGAACCTATGTACAAAGTATTTCCAGTGTATCCAAAAACTATCCAGAATCACAGGTTCTGGACACAACAGACCGAGCACAAACACGCCGTCACCCTGGAAACCCCAGTAAAACACCCTGAGCAGAAAATGGCATCTGTCTTATTTACCAGGCAAACAAACAGTAAACACACATGTAGGTGTGTGTGTGTGTGTGTGTGCGTATTGTGATGGTGATGAAGGGGCAAGTGAGGACCTCCCACATTGATGTGGCTCAGAAAAACATCTAAACTGCTTTTTAAACAACATTAGCATGAAAAACACATCAGATTTGGCTGAGTTTTTGGGTTCCCTTGTGCCAAAAAAGTGTTTAAAAAAAAGCAGAAAGGTCTCCTTTAAATCTCTTTCATGGCTCTACTGATGGACTGATGGTTCCTTTCTTCTACAGAGGAAGCGAGGGAGAGATTAAGTTTACTGCTGTGTTTTACAGTCAGGAAGGGTCAAGCCAACCAAATGGGTGACTGAGCATCGCTCGCCTCTGGAGTTAACATGGCGACAGAAAGCGAAAGACGGATGGACATACAGACAGTCACAGCATCCTGTATCTGAAATGTCATCCAGCGGTATCTTCACTGGAGCTCCGGTCTGGGGGTCAAGCGAAACACTCAACCCGCTGAAGGTGCACTTCAGCCTGGCCACAGTCTGCTGGGAGGGCCTGGGGGAAGAACCAGCGGGAGACACAACCACACACACACACACACACACACACCTGTTTGCCTGCTGGAGAAACCTCACACACAGGAACGGATGATTTGGTGAATAAAAGAGAACGAATAAAAGATGAGTGACATAAGTATGAAGTCCGAAGCCAAGATATATAATATAAACTGTTAAATAATGTTATTCAAGAGTTGTAGTGTCAGAATGCCTGGGTAAATAAAATAAAAAGTTATGAGCAAAGAGCTTACATACAGCTCATAATTCAGAGTCAGGGTTTAGATTGATAGAAAAAAATGTTAAAATATCTATAAGCATTTTTATTGTAGACTTTTTTAAAATAAAAACACATTTGAAGATTACAAATGCAACAACATTCTTGCTTTTCTGTTATTATAACTGATCAGACATAAGAAGTTTAATTTGGTAGCTTTCTGGTATCATTATTATTTCAAAAAGAAGACTAATTAAGTGTGGTCACAGTCGTTTCTGGAGAGAAGAGAAGAACTTATTGTATTAGAGTGAAAAAATACTACTTATCACCAATAAAACTAGCAATGAAGAAGAATCTGCTTGTCATACACCTTCTCAACACCAAGGCAGAAAGGACAAAACACATCTTTAAAACAACAACATCACAGAGATAAAACACTTTACAGTGTTCAGATTCACTACAGACTCAGCAGGAGCCCCATCAGCACACTGTATTGGCAACAAACTACAGTGGAAATGTAGCGATAAGCGCCACAAAACTACTAAATTACACTACAAAGTTCCACTGATGCAATAAATGAATTTTACATTAATATTATAGCATCAACCAAAAACAAGTAATTTGAATAATATTATAGAGATACTAGATAAAGAGAAAACAACATAAAGTCAGTATAAACGCTATTGGAATAGAGGGTAAACATCTTAGTATGAATAAGCTTAATTCTGACCTGCAAAGACAAACTGTATGTCTCTATATGGTCCCTGAGCACCATAAATATTTTAGGAATATCATGGGACATAAATTTCACAAACACACTGCAGAAAATAGTATGAATATTGCAACAATACAGGAGAGTTAACAACATACAGTAAGTCGATATTTCCGCTGAATAAATATTTATGTAGCCAAGAGTAAGACAAACATCATATAAACTCACTATTGAGTTAAATGCATCAAAAACGAACTGGAAGAATATTCTAGAAATGTTATTGTACTTCCATAAGAGATGAGAAATAGATATTAAAGTGTCATCAGATGAATAAAAACGCACTATGATGAACCACAGGAACATTAACAAGCAAAAATAAACCTTTAAACAAACAGATCAGATGAAGATTTAACCCCCTAAAGTCATTTTAAATATCACATTTGCACTGCCGAAATACTGTAGAGACTAGACATCACACTATCCACCACTACAGTAACATTAAAGAAGCTGGTTGTAGCCCAGGCTCATTCCAAAATACTGTGGAAATTTGAGTGTAGTCTGGTTGGTGTGAAGTGTCAACGCGTAAAATAGCCTGTTAGCACGCAGAGGTAATTCTGATCAGCATTAAAAATTAACTGACTGTCACACTTAAATCAACAGGGCTAAAAAAAGAAGCAAATGTGGAGTATAATTCCCAGCTAAACTTACCGGAGTGAGCGGCTCCAGCGGTGCGGACGCTCTGGACAGAACCTCTGTTAGAAAATGTTAAAATTTACAGCAAAACAACATTTAAGACGACTCCCGTTTCACTGGTTCGCATCCACAGGCAGCGCGCGCTGAACAGCCGACGGACGGACACACTGTGAGCGCGTGCGAGTGCGTGAGCTGCGAGAGAGAGAGAGAGAGAGAGAGAGAGGGAGAGAGATCAGCATGCGCATGCGTGATCACTCCGGTGGAAGAGAAAGTGCTTTTTCTCGTGCACGCCCACTTGCAAGGATACGTGAAAAGACACACACACACACACACACACACACAAACACAATGTTAGTTAATTTGACATTAAGAGTTTAGCAAAGATGTGTGTGTGTGTGTGTGTGTGTGTGTGTGTGTGCGCGGTTCAGATAAGCTCTACCAGCCCCGCCCTTGGCAAAAAAACCTTAAACAGTCAAGCTTCCCTCCTCAACATGCTCCTCACACACAGACACACATTATGTTCCTCCTTTTAAACAAGCTAAACTCAAATTTCATCAATAAACAAGTAATGATCCATACAAACATGTCACATTAATTTAAAGACACCAAACTATTACAACAAGAGTTTACAGCTTAGCAGGTCTGGTCAGGCTACAACTTCTTTGAGCTAAATGCTAATGTCTACATGCTGTCATGATTATATGGCAAAGCTAACAAGTTTAGCCTAAAGAACCTAAGCCTCTCCCCTTTCGGTAAACCATGGGACCTAATATCGAGAAAAAATGTACGGTAGTCAACGACGAGAGGCAACAAATTTTTTGATCCTGTTTTAATTGTGCTCTGAATTACACACATGATGTTTGTCAATTTAAAATATAATTTTGAAAGTCAAGAAAGTTGCCGTTTGTCGTAAAACTATTTAAGTATAAGACTGGGAAAATACTTAATTACAAAGACTACAAACCCAAATGTCACGTATGTGACGTCATAACTGTTTTTCTCAATGGCTGAAGCTAACGTTACTGAAGCTAATGTCAAAGAGCTTCCATGTGTAGATGATGTGATGAAAGGACAAGGAGTCGTTGGATTAAACACATCAGGTGAGATACATCTGTGCATGGAACATAGCAACAGTGCAAGTCACCTAGCTAGTAGCAAGCAAGCAATAAACGTTAGCTTAGCATTACAGCGCTAACATGTTGGAGACGTATATTGTGCGAGACAAGAGATGTGGTTCATTGAGCGGTTTCACACAGAACTAAATGTGACTTTCTTCACTTACAAAATTATCTTTTAAATTGACAAATATCACGTGTGTGATTTGTGGCAGAATTCATATGGGATCAAAACATTAGTTGTCTCTCGCCGTTAAGGTCCCACGGGGCGGAAGGCGGGAACCTAGGCTCTCTATGCTAACATACTGACGTTAAGCAGGTATAATCTTAATCATGTAGGCTAATGCTTATTAGCACTTTTGGTAACAAACCAAAGTTTAGGACACATTTGAATTTTGACCTAGTGATCACCAGGTGTCACCAAATTTACCGGCATTAGGATTAATCCTGCGGGAACCATGAATGTGTGTAGTACCATCTTCTATAAAAAAAACAGATGTCAAAACATGTAGCTATACCAGACCAGCAAAAGGGACAGGCGTCAAATTGGGACTAGGCTTTTAATTGAAGTTTTATGGTATTATAGCTCATTCTGAACTAAATTATGCAATCCATCCAATAACTGTTGAGATATTTCATACTGGATCAAAATGGAAGACCAACCTGAAATATTATCAGTAAGCAAAGACACCAAACAATACTTCAAACATAAGGTACGGTTTTAAATAGAGTAGTATTAAAAAGCAAAATGTATCCTGGTGTGTGCTGCAAACAAACCTTGATTTAGTCTCAGCTGACCTCTGACCTTTAATATAGTTCCTCCTTCTCTTCTGTAAAAGGAGTTATACAGTCCACATACCAAGTTAATCAACACTTTTCTACACTGCGTTTGGGTCCAAAGATGAACCACTTAAAAAAGACAGAGTTACGGAGGGAGTGAGAGAGTCTTTGTTGGGTGAAACTGCTCTCTGCTGTTGAAATGTTTGGGGAAATGAGCTCGGATGCATCAACACACACTCACTTGAAGACAAACAGTAGAATCAGGTTTGTGTGTTGGTGTTGCCTGGTGAATAATTGCCTCTCTTTAAAGTAATCAGAGCAACACAACCACAAACAGACCAGAGTCTTACTCTAAAATCTCTCGATTTAAAGACATACTAATCCAAACTGTGGTGTTAAGTCTGAACCACATTTACACCTGAAAAAAGACAACACCTACTTATCTTTCATGTTTTTATATTTTGTCTTGATGTTCTTTTATAAGAAAATTTTATAATAAAACGCAACTGAAAAAATAGTCTAAAAATTCAAATCATCTACATTGAACGTTTGCATCATGTACATTTTTCCTTGTTTTCTGTTGTAATAAAGATTCAGAAACACTATATTTTATAGCAGTCATATAGGAGTCATAATTTGTTTTTAAAAAATGTTCGTGGAAATAATTATGTAATTTGGTGCTAGTAATTGTGCCGTTTATAAGCATTTGTTGATTTTCCAAGGATTTTCCCAAAAAGAAATGGTGTAGAATATGAAATATAAGATGTCCATGAGGCATGTGCAGAGTAGATGTAATTATTCCTTTTGCTTATAGCATTAGTGATCATTTGTTTGATAAGAAGTGATGATCACAAAATAAACGTTCTTAGTTCAAAAGAAAAAAAAAATTTAAACTGGGGCTTACAACCACATCTCAGTCTTCCTCAGTAGATGGAGTTTAGCTACATTGTTTTATTGGCTATTTCCTTCCACGATGTGTTGAGAAAGGAGGTAAGAACCACATTGTTGTAAGTTCTTGAAAAAGCTAACAAGTGGACATTGAATTAAGATCTTCGCATTGTTACTGTTTCCAAGTTCAAAAATGCAGTCAAACAAACAAGAACTGAAAACAGTTTGTTACAGCATGTTGGGATTACAAAAAGCTTTTAATCTTTTATCACCTGGAAATAACATTTTTTAAAAATCTAAATTTAGCTTACAGACTTTAGTTTACAGTCAAACCCTGTTTTATTTATTCTTGATCCAACAACACTGTAAAGTTCAAGCTCTATTTTTTGGCCTCTAGCATGTCTCAAGAACAGTTAATCCATTTTTATAATTGAGTGGAATTTCCCTTAAAGGCAATATTTTATTCTGGTGGTACAGGAAACAAAGTCATTAGCGGTGTACAGGTTTAAGGTTTTTGAGATGTTATTGCACAAAGCATTGCATAGTTGTTGTCAGGCCTGAGGTACAGTGACACAAACAAAAACACGTTCATACATTTTAACAAAACAATCTGAAAGGAGTCAATCCACGGAACATTTTATCACACATAACAAGACTCTGGGTAGAGTACAAGGACATTCAGGAGATGGACAAATAACAGCAACATTTCACATACAACACAATTCAAGTCAACACTGCCTTAAGAATTTAATCAAAACCAGACTGAAGGGTTGAGCTTCACAAATATCTGGCTGTTGCATTGAGTTGTGGCAATTTGTCTTTGTGTTTCTATTATTTTGTCCACCAAATTATAATCAATTTGAACAGGAGAGCATACAAACTTTGGGCTCTATCAGAAGAAAAACAAAAAACATACACTAGGCAGCACATTTATTCGTATTTTCAAATAAACTGAATATAATCTCTTTTTTACAACATAGTATTTTATGATAAGAAATTATTCAAAACAATTTTAGTGTGTTAAAAAAGGAGTATATTGTTTACATATCACATTGTTAATTCAGACAGACAAAAACATAAAACACCCTAAACTTTGGCTACTGATTTGCTAAGATCAGCTTCAGCCAATGTTTCTTCTCCAACAAACAAAGCAACATCCATCAACATACAGCAAAATTTTTGGCTGTCTGAAATGATGAAATTATTATTATATTATGCTGAACGTCTTGTCGCGTAAACCAAAGAAGGAAATGACCAGCAGCCAACCAGTTATGGCTGTGCGGCAAACTAGCAAGTTAGCCGCACAGAAAAAAACCAAAAACAAAGTTAGCCGCACAGGTAGGCATCGACAAGCCATCCATAAATTTCCTAAATGTGTAATTGCTGGTTCTGTAATGTGAACAGAGACACTGTATCCCAGGAGCAGCGACAATGTAGCGTTTCATCAAAGAAACTTTGGCTACGGGTACAAAGCAAATCGTTGACGTATAACAACATTTTGTGGTCATAGCAAAGTGTGGTGCAACATGCTGCTGAAAATCTATCATGTAAACCAGAGAAGGAAATGT